CCCGCTGCTGAGACGAAAGTGGGTGACGAAGTTTACTCGCTTCCGAACACATACACACACACACACACGCAGACGACCCCTCGACAATATGCGCTTTTGCTGGCTGTAGCAATGCTATAGTGTTGCATAGCAAAAACGAATAAAAACGGAAGATCACATAAGAAGTGGTTCTTCCTTCCTTATGAAGTCGATCCTAACTTTTGCCCTCAGTAAATGATACTCGAGATTAACAGATATGGTAGATTCAAGAACGTCAGAGAAGTCCGTGACCTATTTTAACCTATCGATGAAGTTATACTCGACTTATTTCCTCTTTTATCGTTACGGCCTCGTTACGACCGGTCTCCCGCAGCGGAAAAGAAATTAACACGTACAGTCTAGCTGATTCAACGAAGTTGATCAACCCTTTTCCTATCTGTTTCTTATGTCCCGACGATGATCGATTCTGACAACAAAACACCTACATGAAATAATACTATCTTCTACGATACAGTTCGTGTTGCGCCTGGCCGCACAATGAAGCCCACACCGCCGACGCCTCCTGCCACATTATCAAGTAGAACTTATGATCCATTGTTCCATCTCGCAAATCAGAATATTCTCTGGCGAGTATGGTACACTGTGAGGAAATTAGTCCTGACGTTTTGCACCAATGCAGCAAAAAAACCTACTTTATGGACGTTATGGAAGTGTATGAGGAAAAGCACAGTATGTCAAGCAAAAAACAGTTAGTTCTGCGGGTTAAAGTCCATTACCACTTTCCATCGCTGATGCTTCCGTCCTTGCAAAAAGTAAAATGCACATATATGCCCAATTTTTTAAAGCTTGCAAGTACCACGGCTAGCGCAAACAAATTACCATCAAACAGAGAAAGAGAGAGAGAGAGAGTGTTCAGCGGTAATAGTGCAAGCTGGAAGCAGCATGGACAGAAATTTACTGAGTGGTGCAATGCAAATGTTAAAATCCAGAACTTGTGCAGTTGGACTGTTGAGACAAAAACGCATGTTTTCTGAGATGACAAAAGGCAGTGACTTACAAACCGGCCATTTCGCTATTATGTGATAAGTCCGCGACAAACCAAAGCCGAACAGCAAAAAAAACTGCGTTTGCATCCATTTAAACTGCTCATAAAATTAAATTTTGCCATGAACACTAATACTTCTCGCAAATTCGTATGTTTCATTTATCGGAAAGCAATAAATCCATACGGCTTCAATGTGTAATCATTAATTTGTGCTTACCACTTCCTGGAGCTGAGCCGCTGTCAGGCTGGTTTGTGACACGATCCTCAGTTATTTGAAACGCATCATCTTCGCTTACTGGACAAGGCACCACAAGCTTCTGTCCCGGGAATACCTGTATTTTGCCAGCTGATTCGTGCCAAAAATAAAGGACAAAACCAGTATAAAATTGCTAGGCAATAAAATAGAGAATGGGATTTTTTGTTGGGCAACAAAGAACTGGAATATTACCATACGAGCAGCAAGTCGATTCATCTTCATCAGCTCACCAACAGTACAGTCATGCACCGCCGCGATCCCCTCAATCGAATCCGACTCCGTTACAGTGTATTCCATCTGCAAAAATGGTCAGTTTGACATAAGATAATGAAAGCTTATGAAAGGCTTGCAAACCAGTAGTTCTTTCCCTCACATCGTTCACTCAATTTGCCAACGTGCCGTTAGCCTCAGCTTCAGACACTCACTTGTTTTGCAAACATCAAATTTAGAAAATGAAGTTTGCCAGAGCACGGTAAAAAGAGCTCTGAAATGCCTGTTTTGCATGTTCGATAAGGAAAATACTGGGTGGAGCAGCAGAGAGCTGACAACAGTATTTTGATAAGCCAAAGAAGCAGCAGCGGGCTGTTTGCAAACAAAACTCTTATCGAATCAAGCGACGAAACAGGAGGGAAACACTCTTATAGCAACCCAGCAAAACAGAATACTACAGAATGAAGCAGCAACACGCCAAGAAATACCGCCACCGGCTTCAAAAATCGGAAATATAACTTAATCCCCATCATCAAAATCAGCAGGACCGCTTGAACTGCCTGTATAAAGCCTCAGTGTTACCACGATGCGCTCTCAAGAAACGCGAAACTACGCCAGGCCCTTTTGTTCCGAGCTGCACATATCTGTTTTGATTTCACTCGCTCCACAACGAAAACTTGCCATTTCTTGAGAAGCTGCTTAAGCGGTCACTTTTTTCCTTGTAAGTACTACTCACTACACTATCAAAAATTATCACGCAAAAATTGAATTGGCTAAATAATGTAAGAAGAGAGCCCCAGTTATGGGAGCGACAATCCGATAGCCGCACGTTCTTCCCTCGCTGCTTTTCTTCAAAAATGCCTGGCCACAAGAAGTGCAACTGGAACACGTGCGATCTAGGCACTGTGACAGCTT